GCGGGCCTGAGTTTCCCCTCCTCACCTAATCCCTTCGGCTGATTGCTCTTCTCTCTGGCTTCCTGGATTTTATGCCCTTTCTCCTGCTCTTCCGGCCTGCTACTCTGGGCATCCCTGCGTTGTCTCTCCTCACCTATAACCCTGGCAGTTAGTCAGTGGCGGAATATTTTGGAAAAAGAAAGCAATAATGGTGGCATAACATGAAAACTGTCATCAATGTCCCTGAGCTGTAAATGGGGAAGTTGTTATACTGGTATGTCTGTCCCCGGCCACTGTTTCCAGCCACCTGTGCCCTGAATAGTAGCTGGCCCCACCCCAACCAGAGGCAGCCTGAGTAAGTTTCTCTTCTTCAGAGCTCAAGAAGCTTGACAAGAGGATCCCTGAAGGTCTTCAGGAGGTAAATTATGGAATGTGATGAGCAGAGTCACAGCTGTCGAAAGTTCTCATGTGATATACACACTTGTGCTGGTCACCAGTCACCGGTCACAAAGGGCAGAATCCACTCGCTCCATGATCAGGAAGACTGGTGATCTAGGGCAGGCGGAGAACTTACCTACAGGTGGAGAAGTTGTCTAGATGGACAGGTAGGTCATCTGGACAGACACACAGGTCATCTAGATGGACAGACAGGTCATCTAGAGCAGACAGAGAACTTACCTAGAGCAGAGAGGTCGTCTAGACAGACAGAAGGTCATCTAGACAGAAGGGTTGTCTAGGGCAAGCAGAGAACTGACCTGTCGTTTGAGGCTAATAACTTCTGGGCCAGGGCCATTTCAGGAGCTCTGGGTGTGATCAGGACATGGGTGCATTTGGAAAGGCCACCGTCACTAGTCTACCTTAGCGGTCTTTCAGTAAGTCCCACAGCCTGAAATCCCCACGCCCACTGTGAACCCTTATGCCTTCACCTATGCAAAAGGTGTTCTCTGTATCTTTCAGTCTATAATGTTGCAGTGAGAACACACACACACACACTCACACTCTCTCTCACACACACACTCACCCTCACACACATACACACACACAACACACACACCCTCGTACACACACATACACTCATGCCCTCACACATACGCTCTCACACCCCCTCAAAGTCACTCACCCTCACACTCACGCCCTCACACATACGCTCACTCTCTCACACACTCACCCTCACTCACACATAAATTCACACACACATATACGCTCTCACACTCACCCTCAAACCCACTCACACATATGCACACTCATACATACACACACTCTCATATTCACTCACACATACACATTCACATGCAGACACCCCCCTCACACGCACTCTCTCACACATTCACATTCACTCACTCACACCCTCACACTCACCCAGTCTTCACATCACACTGGGATTCATTCCTCTGAACGATAACCCCCCTCTGCAGGTGACCTGCCTGTCCCTTTGACTTACTAGGGAAAGTCACCCTCAAAATCTCTCAGAACTGATGTGTGAGAAGAACCAGAAACCCTGTCCCTGGAACTGCCACTGATCCCAATGTCATATTACTGGGGGTGAGTGTGGGGGTGGGGGTGATCGTGAAATGACCTTAAAGTCGGCCAGTTGTCTGGGGTAACAAGAATGAAAGAGGGCAGTCTACACATAACACTCCTCGATCACACGGAAGCCAGGGCAACTGTCAGTAACCATAACCCTAACCCCTAACCCAGTCCACTAACTCAGTCCCCTAACCCAGTCCCCTAACCCTGTCCAATCACCCAGGCCATTAACCTG